ACTGTCTTCACCCGGATGGAAAGCCTGGTCATTATTATAGTAGCTGTATTTGGGCCAACTTTCAGTCCAGGAGCAGCGATAATGAGCGCAGAGAACACAGTTCTACGCGGGCGACTTTCAGTCCAGATGCAGAAACTGGTGTCGTCACCCCGAATAGAAAGCCCAGTCATGATCATAGCGGTGTTTTTGGGGCAACTTTCAGCCCAGATGCAGACGCTACTGTCTTCACCCGGATAGAAAGCCCGGTCATTATTATAGCTGTATTTGGGKCAACTTTCAGTCTGGATGCAGCAATGATGGATGCGCAAAACRGTTCTATGCGGGTGAAAACGAAAGCGACAAGATGAGAAAAAGATCGTCGGAATGATTGATACCCAGCCACTTGTAGAATTGCAAAGATACCCCTAAAAGGAACTCCACTTCTACACAACTCCAAAGAGGCATACCCCTATAGAGCTCCACTCCTACAATTGCAAAGATGCCCCTGAGCACCACTTCTACAGTTGCACAGATGCCCCTGCACTTCCACTTCTACAACTGCAAAGATACAACACTTGTACAAATTGCAAAGATGCCCCTACACAGGACCCGGTTCTCCGACTGCCACACAACACCACACTTTTGCAAAGATGCCCCTGGTCTTCCTGAGAGTGATCAGCCGACCTGCAAAGATACAACACTTCTACAAATCGTGAAGACGCAAATCGTGAAGACGCCCCTACACAGGACCCGGTTCTCCAATTGCCACACAGCACCACGCTTTTGCAAAGTTGCCCCTGGTCTTCCTGAGAGTGATCGACAGAACCCAGGACCCCGTTCTCCGATTGCCACACAGCACCACACTTTTGCAAAGATGCCCTTGGTCTTCCTGAGAGTTTCCTTTCTTCATATTCCTGATCGCTACTGAAGGGATATCAAAAGGCGCACCAAAGCAACACAAAGCTACTGGACGATCTCCGAGCATCAATACTTCAAGGTGGAGATTCCGCCAAAGCTCATGGGAGCAACACACTCACCCAGAGTGTGTGTGCTGATCGTGGTGACACAAGAATTTTCCTGGATGTATCTCTACCCATTATTACCTCCAGATTCCATTGAAATCATACTCGTATGAGCACGCCCTACGTATCTTCCACTCAATTGAACGGGGAAGCCTAGCATTCTCCCAAGCTTTTGCCTCTCTCTCTCTCTCTCTCTCTCTCTCTCTCTCTCTCTCTCTCTCTCTCTCTCTCTCTCTCTCTCTCTGTTTTTATTTCGCTCTTACTTCCCCCTCAAAGTCTACTATCCGTTTTCACCTCTCTATAATAAGGAGTCGTCCTTGCTAAGAACAAGTTTCAACAAGCAACGTAAGCAAAATTTCAGCAAGCAAAGTTAACAAACGTATCGTTTCTTTTGTATTATTACAGCGGCACCAAACACTCCCGCTTTGATAAAAAACTTCAAAAAAGGCTATTCATTTTAAACCGTAACAAGCACAGTTGTAAAGGGTAAAGTAGCGGTGGCTCAAAAGCAAGTTACTGCACAGTAAACCAAGTCACTGCACAGTCAATCTTTTACCTCGGTAAGATTTGTCAGGTCTGTCAAATTTGTCAGACGTAACAGATTCGTCATATTGGTCAGACGTGTCAGATTTGTCAGATTCGTCAGATTCGTCAGAGTGGCCCCCTTTTCAGCTTTTTTGGGCCTTTTTCAGACTTGTTAGATTTGTCACCTTTAGCTTTTTTGAGCCTTTTTCAGACTTGTTAGATTTGTCACCTTCCTTTCTAGGCTTTCTCCAATTACGTACGTCATTGAGGGCATATTCACAATAGAACACTTTGCTAAATGGATCCGGCTGCAATTACAGCTGGACCTGGATGCATCTGACCGCAATCACGTCCAGAGCTCAGTCATAAACGTCCTTGTGTGAGGATGCCGTGACTCAAAACCACGTGTGTGCTGTCTCCCCCGAAAGAACGCCGTCCATCACTCGCTGAACGCCATCCATCACTCACTGAACCACATCGGATGCTGCTCCAGATGTGTCGCCTCCTTCTCTGTCATGTCAATCTCTGCAAGCCACTCTGTCCCTGTATTCATACGAGAAACATGACCAGATGCAAGCACAACATCCAACATGAGAACAGCACCGTTGCTGAAAGGGCAAACCTTTCTTTTTTTTTTTTTTTTGCCTGTGCCCTAGGCCACCAGAGTGGCCCGGGATCACTTGCCCGGCTGGGCCAAAAAAAAAAAAAATGTTTACTTTCTTTTTTTAATTTTTTGAATTTTTTTCACATTTGCTAAAGAATTCGGTGTGTTTCTGAGGCAAAACTTGCAAAAGCATGGTAACCAACCGGACATCCGGACCGGGTTCCAGACAATCCGGAACAACATGTCCGGGTCCACTGTCCGCTCCGTAATGTCCGGATGGAGGCCCCCAGGGCAAAAATCGAGAAAACAAAAGGGGCGGCCCAGGACGTTTTTCGGGTCCTGGCCGCCCCTTGAAAAATAACGGGGTGATTTTTCAGTGTCGTTTCACCCCACCGGACAGGGCCTACAAGTCCGCACACAAGACACTGCAGGTTTTGGGGGTGCCGGGTTTCACACAGGCGAAACCCGAGCAATTTCAAAGCGGCCGTTTCGACGTGCCGCCCGCCGCTGCTGCCCGTTGGGGAGAGAGAGAGAGAGA